TGCGTCAATTTTGCGCATGGGCATCGCTCCTGCCTATTTCCTGTTGAGGGAATACCACAACCTCGAGCCGGGAGACTGGATCATCCAGAACGCAGCCACCGGAACTATCAGTCATTTCGTCAGTCAACTGGCCCCGCTGTATGGCATCAAAGTCATTAGCGTGATCCGGAACCGATCCACAGCCGATGAGCTAGAGCGCACTAAGCGGTCACTGCGCTCCCACGGTGCATCCTTAGTCCTCACGGAAGAAGAGCTCCGTACGACCGATGCCTTGACGGGAAAAAGAATCGTGTTAGCAATTGACTCTGTCTCGGACGATTCACTAGCTCGAAACATGGCAGCATCCCTCATTCCAGGCGGCACGCTCGTAACGGCAGGATTCCTTGGGACAGCTGAATCTCACGAGGGAAATCTTCGTCAGTTCCTGTGGCAGCGTAATATTACGCTCAAATCCTTCAGGCTAAGTGATTGTCTCGGTCGGCGAGCTCCGCTACAGCAGGGGGCGCTTTTTGAGTGGTTTGCAGAATTATTGGCTCATGGGACCCTGAAGGCGCCAGCGCTAGAGTTTGTCACCTGGAAACGTGGCGCAAAGGGCCTGCAGAAATCGCTCTTCGATTCGATTCAGCGGGCCTATGACAACGAAGCGATCGGGGTTCGGAAGACCGTTTTCGTGATTGAGTAAGCGGAAGAGGCAATTTTTGATCCGACAGATTTTCGCAACACTCATCATGGACGCGAAGGATGCAAAGGATGCGAGGGATCCGAAAGCTGGTGGCTCGGGCCGCGTTTTAAGCCTTGTCCACGGGCGTTGCATGAAATAGCTTATTGGCACTCTGTAGTGTTAAGTTTCAGATCAAGAATACAAGAATAGTTAGCCATTTTTGCATGTCTATTTAGTGGATTTTAGTCGTCATCAGTGGTCTTTTTTTTTTCTATACCTGCCTTTTCACACGGTTTAGAACAAAGACGGGGGAAAGTATAAACACTGTGCAGAACTGTTATGTACTATAATACATACCATAGTACATAATCAGATGGGTTTAATTGCGTATTTACGTGGTATTTACCCATATGGTCACATGATAGTCACATGACTAAATAAAGTGGCATATGATTCTTTGTCAGCATGTCTGCCCACCACCTTGGAGGTGACTGCTCTATACTCCATACTCTGTGGTCCTTTGTTATTTCCACGCATTTTTCAGAATATCATATTACTTCATCCTCCATCCCATCTACTAGCTTGTTCAAACAGGCAGATTATGTTACATATCATATTAAATGGCATTTCCAACTCGCCACCTCAGCAACTGATGCAACTACTGCAACTGATTCAATTATGTAAAAGAAACTGAGGCTGACATGCAGGCCCCTGTTCCCTGTCCTTCCCCTGGCAGGGGTATTGGTAGTCACTCAGATGAAAATTTTACTTTGTACATCCTAAAGCTGTACGGAGTATCTCATTCCCTTGTTTTACCTTTTTTTCCACGGCACATTTATTTACGAATACATCGCGGCTTGCTACCAGAAAGACTCTCACATGAGATAATCCAACGAGTTTCACAATTGGGGTTGAAGCCAGTGTTGACAACCTTCCAAGGTTGGAGGATTATTTAAGATTATTCATCAATACGATGCAACGAACAAGGATCGTGTCGTATTCGCTTGCAAGCCGCTTCTAGCCTTGACTCTGCAGCCTACCCTACCCGCAACAGAAAATGGTGCAATGGAAAAGTTCCCTGATTTGACGATGCAGGTGAAATCCTTCGAATCCCCCGATGTCGTATTTTACATCTGATCTTTCGTTTGTCGGGCAGATCCAAAGCTTAGTCCCTTTTAGGCTCCGCATTTGTGGGTCCAACACCATAAAGAAAGTCCTCCATTATGACAAATGCTCTCCAGACGAGAAAGGGCCGAGAGGCCGAGCTCTACAGGTTTACCTGTAGTCTCAAGCTATATTTGGAGCTGCTAGGCACTAGGGGAAAAAAATTGTCTTAGCACTTCCAAGTTGATTCACTCAAATTGCATTCCCCGAACTACCTTCCCGAAGTTCCTAAGTCTTTTCAGACTGTAAAGTAACCTTTGGAATTACTCCATACTTCCAACCATACCATGTCTTCTGCAACGGACAAGCATCTCGCTCTACAAGACCCTCCTGCCTCACTACCTGCCGCTGAGTCTGATGAATCCGAGTCAGAAAAACAGACAGCCGATCAACCAGCCGTACCTCCCCCTCCACCGAATGGAGGACTTACAGCATGGCTTCAGGTAGCAGGTGCTTTCTTCCTGTTTTTCAATTCTTGGTGAGCCCCAGCTTGATATCTGACATTTCAATTTCTATCATTCAATGAGCTAAAACGATCAATATTAGGGGTATTGTCAATACATTTGGTGTCTTCCAGAGCTACTATGAAGAGACTCTCCTCCCTGAGTACTCCGCATCCTCAATCTCTTGGATTGGTACAATTCAAGGATTCCTGCTCTTCATCGTCGGAGTCGTTGTCGGCCCTGTCTTCGACAAGGGCTATCTCAAGACCCTCATCGCCATTGGCTCGTTCCTTGTTGTATTCGGTTTGATGATGACATCCTTGTCAACCGAGTATTACCAAATCTTCTTAGCCCACGGTGTCGCCGTAGGAGCTGGTTGCGCATTCTTGTTCCTTCCTAGTGTCGCTATTGTGGCCACCTACTTTACCTCGCGGAGAGCAGTGGCCACAGGTATAACCGCTTCGGGAGGTAGCATTGGTGAGTATTGAATCTTGAAGCAAGTGAAAGATTAGATGGCTAATACTTCTACCAAGGCTCTGTGATTTTCCCTTCCGTGTTTCACAAGCTAATCGGCCCTCTTGGCTTCGGCTGGACAACTCGTGTCATCGCGTTTATTGCCCTCGGCGGACTACTATTTTCCTTAGCTGTGATGAAAATGCGCCTACCACCTCCGAAGCAGGCCCGAAGGCTCATCGACCCGAGCGCATTCAAAGAATCGCCCTTTATCGTGCTCAGTCTGGCACTGTTTTTCGCCTTTATTGGATTATACTTCCCCTTCTTTTACCTTCCTACCTTCTTCACAACCTACCTCCATTCCAACGAAAATATTGCCTTCTACAGCATTGCGATTCTGAACGCTGCATCCGTGTTTGGACGCATCACGCCTGGTCTACTCGCTGATCGTTTCGGCTCCCTCAACACCATCGTCCCAATTAGCTTGATAGCTACCATCCTAGCTTTCGCGTGGATTGGCATCAAGAACGAGGCTGGAACTATCGTTTTCGCTATCATTTACGGATATGCATCTGGTGCAATTGTCTCATTGCCACCGACTATCGTCGCTAAGATCACCGCGGATATGAGTATTGTGGGGACCCGAATGGGAATGTGCTTTACCTTTGCTGGCTTGGGGCTGCTGATTGGTAATCCCATTGCGGGCGCTTTGTTGGATCTAGAGAATGCTGTCTTTTGGAAAGCGCAACTTTTCAGTGCTATGACTGTCGTGACTGGTGCGGCTCTCTTCATTGTGTTGAGAGTCATTAAGTGGAAGCACGGCGAAGGGTGGAAAATTTAGGGGACCAAATAATTCGGCGGATATGGCCTAGGGGTGATAATTGTTCATACTATCCTAGGTCATCATGAAGTCATCCAAAGGGGTAAAACATATAGTTAAAAGTAAATGTTCGTGTTTCTTAACAACCTCGCTATGGTTAGGTAGTATGCTAGCTCTAATCGCTCTGACTATCTTCTGGGCTGCCTGATATGGTCTTATAAATATACTTTGACAGGAGCTACAGAAGCTGTCTCATTTCCGGGGTTTCAGATATATATGTTAGATAACCACCACGCAAACAACGCCGCTAAGGGCATTTACAACGCGTGTTTGAATGTCTTTGCGCTTTACTTTTGGTAATACTCGGCAAGGAAAACACTTTCTCAAAAGTTTTGCTCTTTCTATCTTACATCACGTCCCAGACAATAAGTGCAGTTGGTATCGTTAATTGTATGGCTAATCGTCAAATCCAGGAAAGGGCCAGCCAATACGATGTCTATCGAGTTGATACAGAAGCTTACACCCGCTACCGGCTAGGCGCAGGTCAAGGTCAAGTCCTCTGGGCTCAACCGCATATATTTGCTTCAGAGGGAGGGTTTATATCCCTTACCGCAGCAAGCACCTGAAACTACGGGTGCCCAGTTTTCCGATACTATCGAGGCTGTTAACCCAAGACGAGGTATTTTGCCTTGCTTATGGAGGTTCGTGACTCATTTCATTGAGAAGGTTTTCCCTTTCTCCCAGGTTGTGTATTCCCATAGCCTGCTGGAGAGCAACACTACAAAAGGCAAGCTGATTTATAGGATTGACCAAGATTTATGACATTGGCACAAGCTCTCTATATCAATCTGTCAGCTATTCTGTGAATGAGGATGTGAGATGCTACACTATTGTCAATATGTAAGGATTATACCTATTTTGTAGCAGGCAGAAAAGAGGCATTTGTTTGGCCTTTAATAGGCGTGGGTCATAGTTACAAGGCATGAGGTCCATTCAAGGTTTCCAACCTGGGAAGGTCCATGGACACGGGTATTGGCGTGATTACCTAAGTCCCACGGGAGGCGGGCCCGGCCCTCCCTCCAGGGCTGGGCCGCCGAGTTACGGCAGCTCCAACCGCCATAACTGATTTTGCCCGCAGTATACTATGAGTATGCATTGTATACACTTGAATACATCAATGTCACGCCAATTCTTTTTACATCATTTTCCCCTCCGTCCACTTTGTTGCTCAATCCAAATCGATTACATTATTTCTCATCCGATCTCCTCGTAACATGATTCATCAGACTATGCGACTAAGAAACAAGTGGTCAACAGAAGTCAAGATAGTTACTAATGATGATTCAACTAATATCATGAAGGTCTGTGAATTAACTTCATGGGGACAAAGGGACAAGAGCCCGAAAAACACAAATGAGCAAAGGCAGGTCTTCCAAATTGCGGGTAAGCAATGCCCCAACTACTCTCCAATATATGCTACCCCTGTGACTGCACCTCCGATGTCAGAGAAAACAGTGTGCTTGCAGGACCCATCCAAATTGGCACTATACAAAGACCCTCCAAGATCACCGAAAAACATGCGGTTATTCTTCAAGTCCAAGGCAAGTCCGATCCCTTCATGAAGCTTGCGAACCAAGACCTTTGGTTGCAAGTTGTTCACTGACATATCCGCAAGGGTGACTGAATTTACAGAGTTTCCATGTGGTGGATCACCACGATCACTCCAGTACAGTGTCCCAGAAGCATGGTCCAATTCCAAGTCGATGGGTTCCGGAAGATTGTCCAGAAGAAGCTGGATATCTGCGTCTTGCTTGTCGAGACCCATTCGGAAGATCCGTCCTTTGTTCCCCTTCGATGGTCCTTTCTGCGTCCAAAAGACAGACTTAGACTCCTCGTCTACAGCAATGCCGACACACCAGTTCCGCGCATCCTGGCGGTCTATATCGGTGGCGCCAGCCTGGTAAAGCACTTCGATGTCACTCCCATCCATATTCGCCCTCATAACTCTCATTCCTTCTCGGTCTGACCAATACAGCTTTTTTGACTTCGGTGCAATAGTCATCTGCTTCGGTGTATATGTCTGGCCTTTTGGGATGATGGTCACAACATTATTACCGGACAAATCACAGCGTTGTATGGATCCGTCGTTGTCGGCGGGGACTCCCATATTTGTCCAGTATAAGTGATGGCGATCCGTGTCAATGGCGATTCCGTCGGGGAGACTTCTGATGTTGGTAATCAACTCCTGGATATCAGACCCATCCGGTTGGCAAGTAAGAATGCGGCCATTGTGTTCTGGGTATGTTGAAAGGCCAACGTCAAGGAAATAGATCCGATCTGTACGTGCCGCAACAAGGGAAGATTCGACCATTTTCAAGAGTATAAAGAGATCAAAACAAATCAGGCGATTAAGCTTTTGCGCTGGACAAGGTTGATAGGTAAATAAACTGGGCGACAACCTATTACCTTAAGTACTCTATCCATTGCATTCTACGAACTTGGGAATGGTGGCTACTATGTTTAGGAAAATGGACCATTACCAAGCACGGACGAGCCGACCAGTTCTCCCCTGTCGAGACTTCCAGATTGGTGGATTCCGGGATTCAATCGGAAGCCTAATTGGGATGTTCCGATATATTACAGTTGGTAGGTGGACCCATCTGTTAACTGTGGATACTTTATTGACGTAGTTGACCCAGCTCAACTGGGAATCCCAAACCCCTTTGAAGCCGGGACTATCGGCTTCCCGACTCCCGGGGGAAATGTCAGCTCATGGCGACTTTTACTTTTCCCAGGTCATGTGACTGTGGAATAGCATAGCAATTTGGGTAAGGTTGGAAGGTAGATTTTATGTTTAGTCAACATGTCCGTTGAAAGTCTCCGTTTGTCATTTTAGAGAGTTGTCACCGGTGCCATATATTATACTATTTCTACGAGATGCTTAAATAGCAAGCAAGAGTACGCTCCAACAGTATATCCCGAGTTACCCAAGTGAACAAAAATAAGCTAATATGTAAGCTTTTGACAGTACATATTCTGCACCCTATTCTTCACGGAACTGCAACCTTGGAAGTGCGGGGGGATTACTAATATGGCCTTAATACCTACCTACCTAGGTAGGTACCCGTAGGTGCCGAGGTTCGTCATCAACCTTGTTATTGGGTACATAAGTGTATTATGCCCTAGAAAGTGTGTTGCAATAACTTTCCATCTTTCCATATTTTATTTTCTATCCCTACGTAAAGTCGCTAGGTCAAAATGTCCGAAGTTATCAACCAAGTTGCCGTCCTTACGGCTAAGCCGGGAAAGCTTGACGAAGTCAGTCAAATCATTCCCCCAAATATGGATATTTCTGAACTGACGTGTCTCGTGTCCTACCTATAGCTCGTGGCCGAATTGGCCAGTGTTACCCGAAACGTGCAAGAGCATGAGCCTGAGACTACTATCTACTATGCCTACTCTATTGCGGATAAGAATGAGGTCATAGTAGTTGAGAGGTGCGTCACGTCCACGATCTGCCCTCTGTTCCCTCTTTTTGTAGCGTGTCAATATTTACCATTGATCCATTATTAACAACCTTCTTTTCAGATACACAAATCAGGCTGCATTGGATAAACATCGTGCCGCACCTTACTTTCAGGAACTCATTAAGAAGGCCCCAGCCCTGTTGGCGAAACCTTTGGAGCTCAAGACTGGAAGCCAGTTGCTTCAAGACTCTGCACAAGTCATCCGCCTGTGATTTTTTTATGAAAATGTCTATCTCTTGTGAATGAGTCTTCCTTTTTGAGTATTTTTTCGATTTGTGTCTTGTACTACACACAACATCGGCCGAATTAGAATGCATTTCTCAAGTTTGACAGATATTATTTGACCTAAGAAATGAATTAGTTCTAAATTGTTACTCTATTAACTAGCGGCATATCTTTATTTGACACTTACATCCAGCGATGATCTTTATTCTTTTTATTTTGCGGAAGGGACAAAGTTTAACTCAAAGCAACTTAACATCCTTATTATTAGGTTGGCCACACTTGCACGTTTTGCTTATCGATATAATAGCGTGATGGAAATCGTATTTGCAATCTATGTACACATCATCTCACCCCTTTTGGATGCTTATAATCCTCATGAGGAACCCTCCGATTTGCTCCCAATCAAGCCAACCAAAAGCTTGTCCCGACTTTCTTCAACCTCTTTCAAGTTGACGTCAGATATCCACTCATTTACTCTCTCTTTAAGGGTGTCTTGAGAATTCATGTCAAATTCATGCCGGTGCATATCATCCAGCCATGTTTCCAACGCCGGCCCCAGGTGGTCCATGAAATGGTTGAAGTCTCCACCTCCCCCAAGAGTGTTGGTCATAATAGGTCCAGTTAAAGCCCAACGAAGGCCAAGGCCAGATGTCATGGTTTTGTCTAATCAAGTCAGAGCACGTCACAAGTATTCGATTAAACGGGTAATACTAACCAAGGTCTTCAGCGGACACAACTCCTCTCGAGATGAGGCTATATGCTTCTGCACAAACAGCGGCTTGAAGTCGGTTCGCAATAAACCCGGGTGTCTCCTTCTTAACGAGCACAGGATCTTTGCCCAGACTGCGGTAGAACTGGAGCGCAGCTGTCACGTACGCATCACCCGTTCCTTGGTGGGGAACTACCTCCACCAGAGGCACTAGGTGCGGGGGGTTGAAGGGATGGCCGATTAGAATACGGGCTGGGTTTTTCTTGCATCCCGTGATAAATTCTGATGAAGGGAGACCGGAGGACGACGATGCGATAACCACGTGCTCGGGAGTATTTGAATCAAGATGAGCGAAGAGATTGCGTTTGAAGTCCAGCCTCTCTGGTCCATTCTTATGTTGAAAGGTCGGTTAGCAACAGCCTTGAAGAAGCTTCTTATTTTGCAATGGCCAACTCACTTCTTGAATTAGATCTAAATTCCCAAGGTGAGGGTCAATTTCCTTCACAAATTTGAAATTGTTCAAGTAATCGGCTTGTGTTACCGTAGCATTAGGTATGGTTGACCAATGCTTCAGTAAATAATCACGGAGTTTGCTATCAGCTCCTGGTGCCGGGTCCGTCACAATGACCTTTAAGCCTCTGGCCAGGAACAGTGCCGTCCAACTGGAACCGATCACACCAGTGCCGATCACGCCGACGGTTTTAATGGGAAGAAGAGCCATTCTTTTTTTGACTTGTTAGGCCTTTATTCTGAGCTCTGCGTTTAAATTGAGATTCTATAATTGACTCGGCGTGCAGGGAGGCTGATAAATAGTCTATGAGCCCTCAAAGTGACCAATCGAGTTGCTCGGGGGAACCGGAGTCTACATTCCTAATCGGGAAAATATACCTCGGAAGCGCGCTACAACGATTTTGAAGTCGAAGCCGGCCCGAAAGAAACCAACCAGTATTTCATATGCCGAGTTCCGAGAAGGGGGATGGCAATAGGCTCGAGGGCAATTAAGGGCAAAGTCGGCATCTCCGGTGCCATTTCTGGCCTTCCGAGCTCGGAACCACCTCGGAGACTTTAAAAATTCGGAACGGGAAGATCCTGTGTCTTGTCGAACTACACGGAAATTTGGTCCCTCTAGGCCCTTACAGGAATAGAGGTTTTTGTCATGGTCTATTTATTGGTTAAATGGCTATATTATTCCCCACCCTTCACTAATTACTATATCTGTGACGTACAATGGGGTAGAAATATATAAGGACTTCGCGACCACAGGTGATGTAGTTGTCCGACTATAGAAGCTGCACCAAGCGTACTTCATCCTGGCCTCCATTCCAAGTCTCCGTTCTTTCTTCAATTTTCTCTTTTTCTTCTGTGATCTTGCGGCAACATCCTCTTGAATTCACAATGCCTCATCCACACAAAACCACACCGAGCACGGATATCTACGGTCCTGGGACTTTCATGGATACGGATTTCACTCCAGTTCCCCAGGATGCTGCTCGGATTTTCGAATACATTGCCAGGAATACTCCTGGGTTTTCTCGAGACAAAGAGCTTTGGGATACTGTCAAGTTTGAAGGTAGCTCATTACCGATAATCCCTGGTCCAATCAAGGCCCCTCCCATTGCAGCTGCCCTACATGCAATGTGTGGAGTTGTAGCCCACGAAATGGTTGAAGATCGTGACGGCACATCCGCGCGTACACAGCAGGTCACTGTCAACACCGATCATGCTGGTATCTGGTTAGGAACGATCTTTGCGGCTGCCGTGGAAGGGAAAGATGTGGCTGGACTGGCCAAGTCGCGTCAACTGTCAACACTTTATCAACAAGATTTCGAACGAGGCTGTATGGCCACACCGATGAAACAACGATCTACCGCTATCTACAAGACAAAGACTCCAGGCGTTTGGTATCAACTTCACGGTTCCCTCGATCCTATCCCGGTCCTCAAATCGATGGGAATCGATCCTGATTACCCTGCTAAGAGTTTGGACGAAGCTTATGACTATATCGGCCGGCATGTAGAGCAATGGACCGCAGACGAGTTGGAAATGCACAACCTCAAGAACGGTTTTTGCGGCAGCATCTGCTTTACCCCCCAAGGGTGGTTAGATACACAGATGGGAAAGAGCCTCGCAGATCACCCACTCGTCAACTACTCTCGACAGTCGCATGCAATTCCGACTCCTCCAGTCCCCTTGCCTAATATATTGGACGATAAACGGCCCTTGGCGGGTATCAAAGTGATTGAGCTAGTTCGCATCATTGCCGGACCTATTATTGGCTCCACTCTCGCCGCTTTCGGTGCCGATGTCATTCGTGTGAACTGTTGCCGTTTGACAGACCTCAACGTATGTCGCGAATTTCTGGCCTACTCTCGCTCGACCTTCTTTATACTAACTGACAATGTGTAGGCTTTACAGCTTACCCTGAACACAGGGAAACGCACTATCGATATTGATCTGACCAAGGACGAAGATAAGTCACGATTGCGGGCACTTATTGAGGGCGCCGATGTTTTTGTTCAAGGCTTCCGCCCCAATTCGATCGCGAAAAAGGGCTTCGGCGTCAACGATCTTCTCGAGATGGCCGGCAACCGTGGTAAGGGGATAGTGTATGTCGAGGAAAACTGTTACGGCCCTGACGGGCTTTACCATGAAAGACCTGGCTGGCAGCAGATTGGGGATGCAGCCTCAGGATCGTCCTACGTGATGGGCCGGTCCTTCGGCTTCAAGGATGGTACTAGCGTTCTTCCACCGCTTCCGATATCCGATATGACTACTGGCCTTGTGGGTGCTTTAGGGGCTCTCATGTCCCTCCGGGATCGGGCTCGACATGGCGGCTCATATCGTGTGATAAGCTCTCTGGTGAAGGCCGATATGATTGCACTGGAGCCTGAGATCGGTCTTTACTCACCAGAGGTTGTTGAGCAGAGCAATCAGTTATTCAAATGGGGTTGCATCAACTCTTCCCATTTTGTGATAGAGATCCTTCTCGTCGTCATGGATGGATGGAAGAGGGTATTTCCCCAATACTTTGAATCGGGAACTGAATCGCTCATGACCAGTTTCCAAAATGGGCCTTGGGGTCATGTGGACACCCTGACGCCTGTGGTCCAGCTGAGTGATTCGAGCATGACACCTCGTTGGTTGACACCTCCGGTTCCCCATTGTTATCATCCTCAAAGCATACAATGGCTATAGCTTGCTGCTCGGAGGGGTCTACCACATGATTCCAATGGTGATAGCGAATTGTGACACTACAGACTGGCGATTGAGTTGGATTTGTTGTGCAAGTTCATTTGCCACTTGGGGATTACATCTGTGCCCTTGGGATCTGGAGCAGGCTCAGGGATAGCAATAGAGTGTTCAGGTCAATTATCAGTTAGCGTATGTAAAATATCATAGAAAAATAGACCATAAATATGCAAAATTAGCAAAGACCTTGAAGCTGCTGGAATTTAGCGTTGTAATGTTACATCGACTTAGTGGTAGCAGCCTTGGAGATATACTTATTTTTTGCATATCTAAATTTGAACATCTTGTGATGCATTCAATATGGCAAGGGAATCCTCGCTATTTTGATTCAATGGGCGTTTACTAGTAAACTGGTAATAACCATCTTCCAGCAGACCTTCTGGGGGAAACCAAAGGCTGATGTTTTGGATTAGTCGAGGCTATGCTTGCATTCCCCATCTTTCAGCTGGGCTGGTTTCGTCATCCAGCTGGGCAAAAAACAAAGGCCAATCATTCCAATCAAAAGCATAATTCTCAAGCCAGGCCAAGTTTTCTAGGTTATTTTGAGACTCTTGTCCTTCCACGATCGCACCTTGAATCACTGTGCTGTCATGGTTGGCTTCATCTTGCGGGCCTTCCCCGGCTGCATAGTCTGTTCCAGAGCCGTGCATGTCAATGTTTTCTTGGATCAATTTGAGAACAGAACTGCACCTGGAAGCCAGTGTAGGATACTTTTCATAATTTTCGAGAATCTCACGAGCTTGTTGCAAAAGGTTCTTCAAACGAGCCAGAGAAAAGTGCGCCGCTATTTCCGGTGACATTTGAGCTGCAAGCAGAATAGTTACTGCCATGTAGGTATCTTATAAACGTTAGCCACATCGGTCTGCCTGATTTTACGGGACTAACTCACATGAGACAGTGTACCAATTGGATGGTAGTATATACGCTTGTGTCTGCTCTGGTAAATTCCTGAAGATAAAGTGTATCATATCTTCAGCAGCTTTGACACACTGGATCTGGCACTGAGATACCATATATCCAATAGTTTGCTCTTCCGAGTACAAATTGACGCCAGCGGCATTGTCTGCCTTTCGACGATGCACCTGTGAAAGGAACGGCCTAAAAAGGAGAAGCCGGACAGAAAGATATCTTTCAACAAAACATTAGTCCGCATTCCACATTCCTCGGGTATTTGGATACGAACCGGGCGCGTAAGACATTTGCTTCGCGTGTGATATACTTTGTCGGCGTCGGATCTTCAAGATCTGATGGCATTCGAAAATAAGAGTGAAGGGCTTTGGTCCAATTGCACAGCTCCGACTCGATTCTAAACAAGCTCGCGAATTTATCGAAGGATAATGGCGGGCTCAACTTCGCATCAGTGAAATTTCGGCTTGGATCGGGGTCGGCTTTGGAATCACTGGAGTTATAGAAGGTTTCTAACACGTCCGCGATGATGTGGTGTAGTCGACAGAATGATATGTAAAAATCCACCTTCGAGGGTAGAGCCATGTTCCCAGGCCCCCTGGTGACCTCCATTGAGTGTTGCGTCAAAGTATCCAATCCTTGTTTTGCAACACATTGGGGAACTTTGAGTGCGCAACCAAATGTCATAGAAGCAATCCTATATAGCGTTAGTCTGTGCGTTGAAAATATCAATTGTTCATATTATACCTGTCCATTATAATGCATCCATTCCAAACCCGACACGCAAAGTCCCGCTCACGTGGGTCATTGATAGATTTGATCGTGGCAGGTAAATGCAGCCCTAGATCCTGTGCGATATGAATCGCTGTGCCAATGCTTCGGAAGGACTTTTGGGGCATTTTATCATGTTGAAGATACACCGCTGTGAGCAAAAGGATTTGAATGATTTCGAAATTGTAAATTTCCATCAGTTCGTAGGACATTAGTCCTTGAGCTCTCTCAAAAAAAGCAATCGAGGATTGATACCGAGAGAGAGGTGTTGGGGCCTGAGAAACAAGACAAGATATTGCGAACATGATATTAAGAATGCAGTGGAAAGCCCTCTTGTTCATAGGGATGTCTCCTTCTTTAGCCCACAGCGTCTCATATGCGGTTTCAATAGACGATCTGTCGAGCCAGGGGTAGACGCTATCCACATAATCCCAGTATACACTCAGTAAGTTGTCAGCCACCTTCCTTGTAGGAAGAACAAACTGCATCTCAGAGGGTTCTCTGCAAGCCTCCTTTTTTGCAACTTCGGTAACCTTTCAAGTGAGTTGGGTGAAAATCGACTTCTTTCTTTCCTTTTATTCTCAAGCCCTCTTTCTGGGTGTGTCGCACTTCCAACTTCATGTAAGATATCCGCCCCACTAGACGCGCCAAAAAGACTGCCGTTAGGCACACCTCCGTTGTACAAGCTAGCGTCATCGTTATCTTCATTTTGAGAATAGTTGTTTGAATATTCTTTCCTGTTTCTTGACTGTTCGGTGTTACAGAAGGCGCTGTCGATCATGGCCTTATCTCGGGCAGTATCTGAACTATATGTGGCTCAATGCGTAAGCTGATCTGTAGATAATGGACCACAATAATTGAGCCACGAGGCAAGGATCACGAGAGTCTTGGCTATTGTATGCTTTGACGGTGAGTCTATTCCAAATACTTACGGGATATTCGATGATGGAGAGACTGGATCAGCTTCGCGATATATACATGCTTGCGAATTCTGTTTCCTTTTTGCGCAAGGCCCGCACACTAACATGACAAATATAAGCATATCGATCGCACCCTGTCGAGTTCGTTTGATTCGCTTACCTGGTCTAGTACCATCGCATTTTGTTTTCTTGGCTTTACAAACATTACATGCGATGCTGATCTTGAGACGTTTCGGTTTAGGTTCTCTCTGATGTTCTTCAAAGGAGTTTTCCACATGAAATGAGAACATCATTCTGTGGCTGCATTGGAACGGGAGACGACTATTGAATTGAGGTCTTTCTCTTTGTTATTGCTCGGGATCCACATGTCCATGATGACATAATGGCATATCCGTCATATTATGTCATCATTTCTCCCTCACGCATTCAAGTGACGAGACGAACACCTTCAACCCAATACTCAAGAGTACTCAAGAGCTTGAGCATCCATTTGGCGATGGAACCTATTTTGTGATATGGAAATAAGTTTTACTGTGGATTCTTAGGCCTCCATAGTAAGACCAAGAGTAGAGGGGCAGAGCTGTATTTGGAAAAGGAGATCTCATAAAGCGGCACTCCGGGAACATCGTGACTGTGGCCTAGATTCCGGTGTGTACATATATGATCACACATCACGTATCACATTATCACATTTCATGCATGCGGGGTAGTTCTTCTGCAACTCAGCTGCACCTCGAGTTCCTGACAATCCCATCCCATCCAATTGGACACGGATACGGAATATCCAGGCTCATCACAATGCCACCGGACCCAAGTCTGGACCATTCAGAGGCTTACCATTTCAATAGTAGACATGTGTCACAGGAAGCTTGCTGCATTCTCCTAGCTCGTGCATTCTTGGCACTTTTTGTGGTGAGCTCTCCTGCTGACCTTGATAAGTGAAAGTAGTTCGCCATAAGATTCTGAAATATTCCCAGCTCAATTACTCTCTGGTGTAGAAACACTATGCCTTCGCCTATTCCTCATCCCCAGGGGCTTCCAATTATTGGAAATGTCTTTGATATGATCCCTGGCAATACCTGGGCTTCTTTAAATAAGCTGGCAGCAGAACATGGTGGTGCTGGTATCTTCAAAATCAAAATCCTCACCAAGCAACTTGTCTTCATTACGAACGCAACTCTCCTCGAGGAAGTCTGTGATGAGAAGAGATTCCGAAAATGTGTCACCGGTCCTATTGTCGAGATTCGCAATCTTGCCCATGACAGTCTCTTCACTGCGTTTGACTATGAGGAAAGCTGGGGCATCGCGCATCGTATCATGTCCCCTTTCGTGTCGCCCGAGGCTGTCAAGGAAATGCATACGGATATACAACTCACGACAGATGACTTAATCTGGAAATGGACTTCAACCGACACCACCGGGCAGCGTGTTGATGTCACTAATGACTTGGACCGACTCAACCACGCCGCCAACATTAAATGCTTCTTCAGTCAGCATGTAGACTGTGTCCTCGGCGAGGAACCTGCTGTCATCAAAGCTATGTCGGATCTAACCTTCGAAGCCGTACGTCGACCCACGCGACCCAAGCTCCTCAATCGGCTGTTGTACCAAAGTACATTCGACAAGGATATCAAGATCTGTCGTGACTATTGCGCTCAGATTATCGCCAAGCGACGTAACAAGCCTATCGAACAAAAGGATTTGCTACACGCCCTTCTTCATGAAACAGACCCGAAGACCGGAGAATCCCTTTCAGACAGCCGGGTCATCGACGAAATAATCAATATTTTCATCGGCAGCGCTACAGCCCCGAATCTCGTCTCCTTCACTCTGTATTATCTCGCCAAAAGCCCAGATGAATTCACCCGTGCCCGTGAGGAGATTGATACCCTCGTCGGTCCCACCGGTCAAATCGAACACTCCCATCTTTCCCAATTACCCTACTGCGAAGCCATCCTCCGCGAATCATTACGTCTCTGCGCCACAGCCCCGGGTTTCAACATCGAGCCTTTGCCCACCGATGGTCCAGTTCTACTAGGTGGAGGAAAATACGAGATTCCAAAGACCCAAACCATGATCGCAATCCTGTCTGCTGTCAACCGCGATCCTGCTGTTTTTGATGATCCCAATGCTTTCAAGCCCAAGCGCATGCTCGGCGACGCCTTTGACCGACTGCCAGTGGGTGTAAAGAAGGGATTTGGAAACGGGAAGCGTGAGTGTTATGGTACGCGGTATGCTTGGGAATGGTCGTTGCATGCACTTGTTCGCATCATTAAGGATGTTGACTTTGAATTGGCGGATAAAGAATATACATTTGATATGGAAGGGAAGAATTTCAATGGCGCTTTTAGTGTCAGGCCATACGGAATGTTTGCAAAGACTAAGAAGAGAGACCCTATCGTTTAGGCAGGATTGGTATGAGATGGATATCATGTCGTGAAATTGTGTTTTTACTATTCCAGGTTGTGTTGATACCAGCTTCTGCTTTTATGCCTAATACCAAATTGACCTGCGACTGAGAATGTACTTTCAGCTCATAAAGCCGACAATGATATTAATTTTGTTTACTGGATATCTATCCTGTGGCTGTCTCATATTCTGAGACATTGGAGGCCAGCTCAACCATGATATAACCAAAACTTCTCACACAGCAGTCCCGTCTGTCGGCTCCTTGTTTTTAGACCATAATCGCTTCACCAAAGCTCTGATGGAGTGTTTCGCTCCACCCATTTCATAGAGCGGTCTGTGTTCCTCATTGACATCATGCAGATAATCGTAATCGACATGCACAAACGCTCGCTCGACATCCGCGAGACCTTCCAATTTGCGCTGCAGCGCTTGGCTTACATCGTGAGACTCCCGAAGCTTGGTCTCAGGGTCCATGACAATATCGACCTCAACATAGAGTTGCTGTCCAGAATGATATGCGCGACACTGTGTAGCGTTAGTCGGAATGCCGATAACCAATCTACTCAATCCACCTTGACAACTTACCGTATCCACCTTCTGAATCCTCTGATCGTGAGTCAGTGTCACATAGATGCACTTATTCACAAATTCACGGGGGGCACATTTGCCCACAATCAACCACATATTCTCAAACGCAGTCGAAGCCCACGAGAACAAAATGAGCAGCGCAATGCAGCACGCGCCCACAGGATCAAGATACCAAACAAATCGATCACCCACAATCGACATAATCAATCCAAACCCATTAACAGCCAGATCATTGCGGTGGTCAATGTAAAAGACATGAGCAGCCGGGTACCGACGCAAGCCATAGCAGTACAAGAACATAACGAACTTGGAGAAGATAGCAACGCCCACACAAACCAGCGGCACAATATCCAGTTGCTCGGACTCAGTCTTGCCCCCGCAAGGGCCTTAGCCGATTCGATGATCAGCTCCACCGCGACGATGGTCATCAACGCACAGAACATGATCACTCCCATTGTTTCGACGCGGCGCCGTCCAACGGGGTACTTGTATGGTTTTGGGCGCGAGGACATGCGCGACGTGACTAGCATGACAATGGACGAGACGAGATCCATGAAGGCGTCTGCGGCTGTGGCGAAGAGGGCTAGAGAGCCTGTTGACACGGCTGCGTAGAGCTGGATCACGAATAGGAAGAAGTTAACTGTGAAGCTGGCGCGCACGGCGAGCTTTACTTTGCCGCCGTTTTGGGCTTCGTCTTCGGCTTTGAGGCGCTCTTCCTCACCGGCAGAGAGGAAACCCTCGATCATTTCATTTTGCTCCTTGTAAAATTCCGTGAGCTTTTCCTTCTCGTCATTGAAAGAGTATGGGACCCAGTTCTTTTTTGGTTCGGAAATAGTTGTTTTATATTGGTTGAGGTTTAGAGGGTCATCGAGGAGTGACATTTTGTGTGGTTGGGTCGAGGTCAGAGTCAAGGTTGGCCAAGGTAGATCAGTGTAGGGCTCTGATGGTAGGGCTCAAGATGAAGATCAGATAAGGGACAAAAAAGTCTTCCTCCGATCTAAGGTTTAGGGGTAAGCTCACGCCAAGACACTCAGTGTCTCGAACAACTTGAACACCTTGGCATCGTGGCAGTGCCAGCGGAGTTTCTCTTGGCTTTATGGAATTGACGAATTATAATACGACGGATGATACCTATTGCATTAGTGAGGGTCTTGGGGGTCTTCGGAGTTTCTCCGGTAGATGGGCTGGAAACTAGGGCCTCCAACCTTGGAATCCCATAAGGATTTCGGTGCTCATCTCGGTGGTTTATATGCGTTCAATTCTACCGACAACACACTTTTTATGTCTATTCTTGAAACAGAAATAACAAATTATCGCTGTGTAGGGCCTGTAGTACCTATTAACCTTTATGTGGGGAAATTGTTAAATTCTGACTTTCATAGCGTTGGGCATATCTCACGGACATATTTCTCCGAATATATATATCCACAATTTTATCACCTATTAAAAAAGCCAATTCACAGAATATCTGGATATGCACGGAGTACTCTGTATGTTCTTGAAGATAAATAAAGATACCTGCCCAATATCTAAAACATAGATCTAATCTCCCAAGGTTCATGTGAGCTTCCAAGCTTTTCAAGTACCGAGGTACCACGGCACCAAGAACCAAGAACTAAACATACTTAACCAAAAGCCCTAAATTCGTAACTTGACCTTGGATTCCAACTCGAGATTTCTTCCTATGGATATTATGACTATTCAACATTCTCAGAGCTTTCTGTGAGAAGAAAATTAATTCGGTGAATTTTAATATTGTATGTGACATCCGGAGCGCTTTGAGAATCTAACAAGATTAAACCTTCATCATCAATGTTCCGACTTCATATCACATGACCACTTTCTGTAGTCATAGGATATCTACATTGTTCCTTTCTTCCTACTTACATACTTCTCTACAATCTACAGTACAATGACACACTATTGTACTTCATGCTTCGTGATCTCATCTACTGACTAGCAACATCATCAACTGTCATATCTACACAGTAAGGTTCATTTTTTTCCCTGAATCTACTTCAACTCTTAAGCAGGGGGAAACCCTAAGCCACCGGGATACCCTAATGAGTGTTCCGATTGGTGCCATAAGGCTGTCCGCGTCAGAACTCAGTAATATCATTCCACGCCGCTATGCCTTCCTGATTCGAGACTCTCCTTGAACAGGCTTTTCAAATATCAAGTGACGTAGGATGAACAGAGGAGGTACACCGAGCTGCCTCAGAAAACCAAGAAAGAAAAGGAAGTGAAATCCCGTTCGTTCCCTAGAAAGTCTTCGGGGGAGCTTTTCCGTACAGCGTTTCCCTAGAGACAAGTCCCTGCATTAAGGGCGAGTCGATCTATCACGAATCCAATAATCAAGGGAATCCATACGGAGGCTATAGCTACGAATCCCAAGCTAAACTTAGGCAACGATCCTCGTGGCCAAAGGTGAGGGGAGGGAGCTATGAGAGCTACGGGCATTCCTCAAGCATCCGAGCTACCCAAGGCCTTGGGAGCTCACCTTCCAATCGCAATCTTTAAACAGGCATGTTGACAAGCGTATCGCATCAGAGCTTTTGGATCTGAACAAACTAAGGAAAATTGTCCGGTGATCGGATCATTTGACTTTTCTCCCTTCATTCCTACTCCTTAGCTACAGCTGTAACCTCGCGCGGAGAGCTCGGGTCCTGGATAAATGTGAGGAATGTTGGGGCGGATTGTCATTCGGAGGTTTTTTCTTACCAATTAATCTTTAGTGTTTAAATAAAAGAGCTTGACAGCTCGGAGTTCAAGGTCTCGGAAAATTAATCCACGAGACTCATTGTCTTTGCAGCATATCGCCCAACATGGCCTCCAAGGTCTTGCAGAACAACACCAACAGCAGATGGATGAAAGATCCAGGGCTGCGGAGACTAAACCTGGGGATCGGGTTTATGTTATCTGCATCGGCTACAGCCGGATATTGTGCTAGTATGATCAATGGCCTTCTGGTGCTTCCCGAATGTATGTATCTATGCATCCCATATCCTATATGGGAACACCAGACTAACAAAAGGAAAACAGTCTCCAAGTTTTTGGATGGTCTTGACACAAATGGAAGAGGTCTTATCATCGCAGCTGTGTCGCTGGGATCCTTTCTCGCGTTCATCCCCGGATCTTACATTGCCGACAATCTGGGGCGGAGGATCTGCGTTCTTATCGGTTCCTCGCTAGTGATCATCGCCTCAATTATCCAAGTCGCCACAAGCAACACTTGGGTCTTTTTCGCTGCCCGTGTTCTAGCTGGAATGGGAGTCGGAGTTTCGCAAACTGCTGCGCCTTTACTCATCACCGAATCGTCACACCCACGCCAGCGACAGGCCTTCACAGGTCTATACAATGCACTTTGGTTCATCGGGTCGATCACATCGGCTGCTATTGGTTTTGCTGGACTCACGATTCTAGGGAGTTGGTCATGGAAACTCCCCTGCTTAACGCAAGTGTTTTATCCAGTCCTTCAGTTGATAGGGCTTTGCTTTGTTCCCGAGAGTCCAAGATGGTTGGTGTCTCGGGGCAGGAAAGAGGAGGGAATGGCTATCCTGGCAAGATACCACGCCAATGGAGACGAAAACGACGAACTTGTTCAAGACGAATTCTACCAGATTTGCAAGAGCATCAACGCGGAATCCGATAAGAGCGCCCGACGCTGGAGCACTTTCTTCGCAACTCGGAGCAACATGCATCGTCTATCCATTTGTGTTATTCTGGGATTCATGCAAGAGTGGTCTGGAAATGGTACGAAAACACACCAAGCCCTCCTTTTGTCCCGACCCAACTTCTAACCCACTTTCTCCTCCCAGGCGTTGTTTCTTATTATCTAGCACCGATTCTAGAATCAGTCGGTATATATAACGCATCTCACCAGGCCGCCATCAATATAAGCATGCAGGTGTGGAACCTAGCATTTGCGGTCTGCGGAGCAATGGCTGCAGACCGATACGGACGACGAAAACTCTGGCTAATCGCAACATTGCTGATGTTCATCTATCTATCTGCCGCAACGACTATGTCCGGTCTCTTCCAAGAGCTTCATGTGCTGGAGGCCGGCATTGCGGTGGTTCCCATGCTTTTCCTCTTTTGCAGCGCTTACGATATGGCATATATGCCTTTGTTTATTGCATACCCAGCTGAAATCCTGCCCTTCCAGCTCCGCGCCAAGGGGCTTGCCATCACACTGACCACTGATTCAATGGCTTGCTTCTTCAATCAGTATATCAACCCGATCGCACTGGGGGCAATCCACTGGAGATACTTCACGGTGTATCTGGGTTGTCTTGTGATTTTCGGGGCGACGATCTACTTCCTCTTCCCGGAGACTAAAGGTCTATCTCTGGAGGAAGTGGCAAGGATCTTTGAGAAAGAGAAGCCTTACCAGGTGGAGACGCCTTCTGATGTTTCGCAAGAGCTGCTCGTCTTCGACAAGGGTAGCGCCTCGTGATTGTGATTGTGTAATTTTTGTTGCTGCTGCGTGTTGTAATTACGACAGTGCTTGGTCCCGAAACAGTTCCTCGCAGGCGAATCCCTAGCGGGCTGGATACTGATGTTATCTAGGTGTCTTTCTTTGCTGTTCGAAGTTAATGTGGAAGAGCAAATCCTATAGATAGATATGTAGAGATTATCCACCATTGTCTTGTGGTGTCAATTTAAATTGGAACCTTCTTAATGGAAGAGATTTAACAGTTGTACTAATTAGCCATCATGGCCATTGTAGTTATGTCAAGCCTCCATGTATGTAGGTAGGTAGTTGTACGATCCACCAATGGATGTATACATATTCATCCACCAATTAGAAGCTCCTGGTTACCACTCACGCTAAGCCATACTTAGACTAGCGCATATTCTTATCCAAAAAGCGCATATCAATCGACTCAGACAGCTCTCAAACACGAACAAATCCAATTGATCCAAGGTCAAACTCCTCTCACCAGACCACACCACTTAAAACACAAACTACCTACCTCAGTTACCTCACCCAGCCCCACAAAAATGACCAAATACGAAACAGCCCTTGAGCGCATCGACGCAGCGCACGCCGACGACCCCCGCGAAGCCCAAACACCCACCGGCCCAGTCCCATACGAACTGCACTACGCCCAAAAAATGACCAGCTACCTCTCAACCGTGAACCCATCCGCACCAGAGCTCCTGCGGCTCGCAATCCGCGCCCAACACCTACGCCGCTGGGAAGTGCCGCGGGACAGCTACCCCGCCACGAAGATCGGGTATCACTCGTGGCGGGCGGGCCTGCAAAAACGACAGGCTGCGCTAGTCGAACAGATCTGTGTTGAGAGCGGGTATTCGGCCGAGGAGGCGGCGAGGGTTGGCGCGCTGGTGCGTAAGGCGGATCTTAAGCAGGGAGATCCTGATACGCAGACTCTGGAGGATGTCGCTTGTCTTGTCTTTTTGGATGATCAGTTTGATAAGTTTGAGGCGGAGCTTGCGGATGAGGAGAAGATGGTGGATATTTTGAGGAAGACTTGGGGCAAGATGTCGGAGCGCGGGAGAGAAGAGGCTTTGAAGATTCAGTTGTCGGATAAGGCAAAGAAGTTGGTTGGGATTGCGTTAAGTGGGTGATTCTTTGTGTTAGGACTATAGGGGTTCTTTTGTTTTATATATCCATATATCTAAGGTAACCAGTACTAATGTCTTTGGATTTGAAGTCATGCGTAACTTGATATCGTCAATGTGAAATGAATTATGTTTCGTTAAATGTGTATTAAAAAAAAGGCTTTTTGCAGCGTTTTCCGAAACGCCCGCTGATAGACTCATACCCGAGTCAACCCAGAATGAAAACCCAGTAGGAGTAGAGAGAAATATAAAAAAAACTCCGACTGCTGCAATGCATGAACGCTCAATGCAACGT